GCCGTTTAGTTTTTTTTCCACCACAGCTGTTGCCTGTCTATTGAGAGAAATTCCAAATGTTTTATAAAAGAAGAACCTTTTGATTCCTTAACTAAAATTTGATTACTTCATTTTTCTTTGAAGCCATCTTACTGAAAGCCTTTCTGTTTTCAAGAGCAGTAAAGATGAAGCCTATTTAAACTTGGCAGATATTTGTTGGCCAAAGCAGGAAAACCAAAAGAAGGGGATCATGTGTCCCTGTGTGATAAATTGCTGAATAGATTTTCACAAGGTTTTCTATTCTACTTGTTGTTGCTCTGCATTGGCATTATAGTTGTTACCTGTGGGGGTGGGGGGTTGCAGGCTGGTTTAAGTGTCTCAAATAACTTTTTGTTGCAATAAATTTTAAACCTAATGCAAACCTTGAACACACACAAGCTTACTTAAGTCGCTGCTCCAAAAACTGCTTTATATCAGATGGCTGTGGCCACCACAGAGTAAAAAAAAACAAAAGAACAAGGTTTTCAGGAGCACCTTCTGAAACCTCAACGATCTCAGTCTGCTCTGACCTTTCCTTTAGTTCAGTTTTATTGTGTGATGGTAGATTATCCTTTATTTTTTCTATGTGGCTGGTCTAAATCATATTTTACAGTATGCTGGGTGCCTCTAGCGATCTGCAAGTCCTGTTAGAGCCGTAACGTGACAAAACCCAGCTGTGACATCGGTGTAGTCAAAAGTCCTCTGGCGGGTGTATAGAACCACTACTTCACGCATTGTTAAGCAATCTGAAAGAATAGTTTAAACGTAATTACAATGGTCTGTTTTACTGCTGCCAACTGTAGCAATGGTTTTGGATCGGGAAAAGGAATGTTTAATTTTCCGAAGGGCCCCGTTTTGCGTCAAATTTCGATCCAGAAAGTAAATAGATTAGACAATCTTTGTGGTCCAAGCCAATACAGCAAACTTTGTCCAGATCACTTCACGGCAGATTCTTTTATCAACGATCCTGCTCTCACTGCATCAGTTGGATTCAATATACCGAGGTTGCAATGGCTTGTTTCTTTGTTGTATAGCTTTAATAAAGTGCCTGATGGCAATAAAGCTGATTCAAAGCATGATTTATTTTTTAATGAAATATTTTAATTTCATTAAACAACAAACCCTAGCTAGTTGTACAGTTTAGTATAGCCGCAGCTCCAGACGAATTTCCATATTATCATGGTCAGGGCTCCAGAACAACAAGAACCGCAATGGATAACAGTCAGTTACCGCAGGTAGAGACCCACAGCTCGAACCCCACCGACCCGGAGCCATGAGCTGAACCGGGTAATGACCACATCAAAAGGGCAATGTTTCCCACCTGTACAGCAGACCCGGTGCTTGGCTGCTCGCTGCGATCGGATTACCGAGGGACCACCTTCCCCATCCAGGCACAGCAGCACAGCACAGCCTGCTATCCAGAATTACCAGCACCACACACAGGGCTCCAACACTGACCGCCAGCCTTCACGCCCAGTAGAGGCAGCACCCTGCCAACCAAACTAAACCCAGCCACCATAGAACCAATCCCAATCCTATGATCCTCTCCTCAAACAAAAGGTTAGGCTCTGGTTTAAACTAATTAAATCACATCATCTGGAAAATGTTCTGAAAGATAATGAACTTCCACCGGATCTGCGTAAGATCAAATAACATTTAGCAACGGTGATTAAACCAGCAAGCATTAATAAAACCGCTAAGATTCACATTGCTTTGTATTCGTCCTTGTTAAAGCATAAAAATTCTCGATGACTCGATATATAAAATGACTACTTCCTGACTAAACTGACGTCCAGTATCCTACAGCGTTTCAGTGGGTCTCGTGACCAAATGAGGAATTTAGCATCATCTGCTATCTTGGTGAATCATTTTGTGCTATAAACAACAAAATACTGATTTTTTTTTTTTTTTCCACTTGTGATTTATTTCATTTTGTACATATTATCAAATGAGAATCTATAAGTATGGGTTTTCTATTTGAACTTTTAAGAGCCTCCTGTGTTGTAACTCATGTCCAGTATATTCTCCAAGTGACCCAGATGCTTATTAGATTGCCCTGATGTTCGTTTGGTACGGGTGATGGCTATGAGGTGTCAGTCTAGTGAAAGAAAATAACGCTGTGGTTGAATTGATGTGTGGTTGCAGCTGGGGTGACAGAGGAGGGCTGACAGTCTGATCAAACCTGTTAGACAACAGAGGCTATATCAACACAAAGCTGTTGGATTTATGACCTAACATGTTTCCAGGCTCTTCCAAAGGATTTCCTGCTTCAGCTAGTCCCCCATCTTCCTGTTGTATCTTTTTTTTTCCTCTAATCCCTGGTCTTACTTCTCTACCTTTCATAGCTTTTATTTCAGGATTGATCCAGAGCTTGTCAATGCAGTCTGCATTCTACCCATGTGGAGCAGAGAGCTCCCCTCTATTACCTCAATCTCCTTTGATCGCCTCTGTATTTTGCATGTCACAGCTGGTCCTCTATTAGTTGATGCACAACCTGGAGTTAAACGCAGGAGAGAATATATCTGTCCTCAAAATCCAGAAAAGGTGTAAAAAGCACACAACTGGAATTCTCTTGTTGATGAAGACAACGCTCTGTGTCCGAAGAGCTTCAGTAGTTTATAAGTAGTGTGGGAAATGATTCAGCTTGGAAAGAGCCCTTCTGCAACTGGAAATCAGTCAGACTAGACCCCCCTCAATAGATCATTACCTCTATTATTAGTCCGAGACACACAGGATGTTTTAGCCACTTGCAGGGGAGGTATGAATTGGTTTGAAATTGAATGGGCACAAAGGCCACATCCAGACGAAGCCGGGGGTTAAATCAGGTACATTCAAAAAATCCTCCCGGTGTGAGAGAGTCTGAAGCCACCCCCTGTGGTGGCTTTGTCCAGGCACACCTTTGTGGCAACAAACTGGAAGGTGTGAGCATGAAAGCCAACAGAAGCGCCACTTCTCCTCTAACGTGTGCAAACACGAGCAACGGTGGCAAATTTAAATGGCCATTGTTTTCGTGGCTTTTACACCAACACTTTTAATTCCCGCGTTTGTGTCAAACACCTCGTCATCGGTCCACACAAGTCTCTGCTGTCTCGTCTTTCGTCCTGCTGTGTTACTACTGTCGCGGCATTAGTATTACATTGTCTATTACATTACTGCTCCTTCGGCTTCATGTACTTTTATCTTTTGGCTCAAGCTTTTCTGAGCAGATACAGTATTTTGCTCTGTGGATGAGCCAAGAGCTCAGGTATGGAGTGCATGTTTTTGAAAGTTTAAATCCTAGGCCTATCCAAACCATCCATATTTTTTGTCCAAAATCCAAATATTTTGGTCTGCTGGGCGAAGATTCTCAGTCATCCAGGTCATAATCATTCCAAAACAGTAAAGAACAAACCACTGGACTTTGTTTCCAAGTTTGAAGATGTTTCGCTTCCCATCCAGGAAACGTTTTCAATTCAAAATGTCCGAAAAAGCTTTCATTTTAAACATTTTGGTCCTTTGGTCCATGAGTTTTAAGTGCAGACCTTTATCTAAGTCATGGTCTGAGGAGCTTGCTCTGCTGTGTTTACGATGGGACTCTTTAGTTTCCCTAGTGCAGAGTACTGGGCATTCCTCCCTGCACTGAACTGCTTACCACACACCGCCCATTTTGTGTATAGGTTTTTTCTCCTTGGTATGAGGAGTTGGTTGGGTCTAAAGTGGACAGGAGTGTTTTGTTTTGAGGAAATTCTTCTTCCTCAGATGTGCCAGCAATGTAAGATGATGACGGTGCTCTTGCGTTCTTTGTATTGTTTAAGAGGTGTGTGCTTCTGTTTGTTGCTGCTGTTACCAGAGGGACCAACATGTATTCTCTGCTCTGCATGTTGGACTCCCATTGGCACCTTCTCTAAAATGTTATGATGTTGCAACTTTTCCTCACTTTTTAAATTTGTCCAGCATTTTGGTGCCATAGATTAGACTAATAGTTCTAAGGTTAGGAATAAAAGATTTAGAGATCTGAATATAAGTATATTTATGGCACATATTTCAAAATGCATAAAGACAATATAAAGGTTGTCGATGGAGTTATTGAAAATTCTTGTGTCCACTGTCCACTGCCAAAAGTTTTATATATATATATATATATATATATATATATTATTTTTATTTTATTTTTTACAGTAATTACATGTATGAAGAGCAACTTCATTTGAGCTGTTAAAATATTTGCCAATGAAAGGAGTCTTTTGGCCCATAAAGTAAGAATATGACACTTGAAATAAGTGACTTTTGTTCAGAAAATATTCCAATTTGCAGATCATTTTACTTGCAACTTGCAACTACACTAGAACATGTTATTTCCTTTAGTTCAATTTTTGAAGACTGATCAGTTTATGGTTGTGGATCATAAGCCTCTTCAATATTTTATTTTTTGTAACTCTAAAGGATAAATAATTCGGCGAAAAAAAACTACTGGATGTCTGTTTTTTGTTATAAGCTCTAATTATTGGAACAACATGCAAATTTCAGTAGATGGGCAGACCTTGGTGTCTGACATCTTTAGAGTTTTGCCAGATGACACAGCAGGATGCTGGTTTAACCTAAATTTGAACAATGTAACATCAGCTGATGATGTCTGGGGGATAGGGTGGGGTGCAGTGACCCTTACTGATTTCACTGTCCATTCCTGATTTCCTATGATCCATCTAGATAAAGGACAACTGTCCCTCTTGAACACTGGGACCCCACTCCCTTTGTTTTTGTGGTGGTAATCTTTTGACACCATCTGTCTTAAAACCGTTCCTTGTTAATCTTTTGTTGTTGCTGTATATTGCTTGTTTACCTTGTGTTGTTTTTTAGGACTGCTCTAATTTCTGAGCCAACCTAAATTAGTTAAAACCTGGTAAATGTGATCAACAGCAGCAGCATTGACAGAATACGGTCTATATCTAAACTCCTTAAATGCATCCAGAAATCACAGAATTCCTTTTCTTTCCCCTTTGCAGATATGCGTCCTCCTGTTTACATGCCTTTACATGGTGTGCTACCTCATCCTCACACACTTCAAAAAGACTGCCGACTTCATCACAGGTAAGTTCCTTCAGTTCTTTCATTTGAATATTCTCTTATTTATAAGAATGCAGTGTCAGAAAGCTCTCCGTCAGCAACTGACTGAGAACTGCCTTCAGGGAAACCAACAATGTTGACAAGCGTACTGATTACAGTGAAGTTTTCGAATTGCTTTCCTCTGAGTTTGCTGGCAGCACGTTTCAGGCTCACATAACTCCTACTTAGAGATTTGCGGTTCGGTTTAAGAAGAGAGTATATTTTCTCTCTTGTTCTGATTTTCTTTGTATTTATGGTTCTATTCATTTGATGGGATTGATCCCTTTCAAACATCAGACTCTACTTTGATTCAGAAATCCTCGACAAAAAGTGAAAATCTTGCTTACTGTGCGACAAGTTCTTCAAATGACAAAGTAATGAAAAATGCGACAAGATTAAAAAAAACTGTTTGGGCTTTTGTGAAAAACTTTTTGATAAGGACTGGAATGGTGTATTTTAATGTATTGACATTTAGGGACGGCTATTGTGTTGCTCAGACCCACTGACAGCCCTCCCGTGTGACTCAGCTGATTAAAATGAGCTGTATCCAATAAAATGTGAGCCTTATTGCATGCAGATGTTGCTTTTTAACTTTTGCAAGTAAAAAAAGTAGATGGTCAATTTTTTTCAACATGTTTTTATGCTGATGCAGTGTATTTACTTCCTTCTGCCATAGTTGTGCACCAATAACAAAAGCACAGTTGTACCCTGCAGCTATATGACAATTATGCAATCCCAGTGCATGGAGATGATTGTCTAAAACTGGTTCTTGCTCCTTAAGCTTTACATTACAATGTAACAGCTGTCACAGCAGTGCCAAAAATGATGTTATATTATCACATACCTAACTAAGAATAGTACTTTATCCATTCCAGGTGCATAGTACAGTTAAAAGCTGTTTTGTTTTGGGTTGTTTTTACACCGCTTGATTTCTGAAGTTGTAGCCTAAATTTTAAGGCGAATATAATTTTCTTCTTCACTTACTTAAACATCTTTTTCCCAGGTGTCAGAGTCTTTATTTGGAATGTGAATTGGCAAGAATTTGATGTTAAGATGTGTATGGAGATATGTCCTGATGCAATATATCTTGATACACTGATACAAGATAATATATTACGATTTTTATTATAATAATATAGCTCTGGAAAACCCAAAGAGATCTGTTCCTCTGTTGAGGATGGTGCAGAGCAAAAGTGTCTTTAATCAAAACAAATGTTGTCAAATTTAATATCTCTTTTTGACAGATCAGATTTGTTTTTAAACCTTTCCAGTCATTGGCCTCCTAATTAGATATTCTGGTCTAATACCAGGCTCTACTCGTTTTGCCCCTGGAACATCTAGAAAACAAAACTTTAGAAACATTCCTCCAAGGTTATAATTGTGCTACACAGATGCCTGTTTTTGTTTTTTCCAAAGTCTCTGCTCCACCACATCCCTAGGTGAACTCTAAGACTTGGACCCGTTGGAGGTCACTAGAGAATAGTGAGCTCAGTCATTTTTAAGAAGTCTTTTCGAAATGAGTTGAGATTTTGTAACGTGGTACGTTACCCTGCTGGATGAAGCCATCAGCCACCACTCTGTTGGTGTTCAAATCTGGGGACGAAGCCTGATATTCGGAACCCATAGCTTTCTGCTGCTTTTGCTCATATGCTTTGCCGTTCACCGTGATGGGCGCTCCAGAGATGCCTTCTTATACCTTGGCAGTAAAATGTAGACGTGAGGAGTGAGGCTGTAGCATATGGGTAAAGCACAAAGCCAGCATATAGAGGCCTTAGTCATCCACACATCATTACGGGTCCAAGCCCTGGCCCTTCTACCTGTCTGTCCATTGTCTTCTTACAATAACAGGGTTTTTTAAATTGTGTTAGTTCTGGACATCAGTTAATGCATGAGATGGTTGTATGGCATTTCATTTCATTTGCAATAAAATTACAGTTTAACAAAGCACAATATTCAAATCCTAAAAGCACTCAATTTTTGATCACATTACTTTTAACAAAAGTCTGACAGTTTCTTCCTTCAGGCCTTTTGGTAGCAGTCATGAGCTAAAAGTGGGTACGGAGCGTGTCATCTGGTCTGCAGAGAAGGTGATTGGCCATTTACACTACCCTCTGTAAACTGAATCGTGCCGATTTCAGACCAAGCTAGGATCAGTTAACCGTGTCGAGCTTGGTTCCTTACAACCGTTTACACACCAAGCTTGCACGGTTCCTCGCCTCCTAGTGACCATCTACAATACTACTGCTCTCTAGAGGTAAACAAGCAAATCAACATGGCGGCGCCCATAACATTCAGGAAGTTTGGTTATAATTGTGATATTTTTTTGATTGCAGAGAGTCAGGCAAAGAAGGCAGCCTTTGGAGAATTTACTTGACACAGTCGACTTTTGGGGAGTGGATACGCCAAACAATAGTCTAATAAGGGCTTACGAATGCAGGAAATGATGACAGACTATGAGGTTCATCTCACTGCTAAGCAGAATCTTCACTCGAAATCGTGTGGCACAGTGGGGAAGCTAATGTCTGTATGAAATTTCATGATTACGGAGGCTGACTGTAAGGAGGTTATGCGGTCTGCTGGTGCGCTCTTTGTTATCTGAGAACAGGGCCAGAACTGAACCACGCCAAGCCCTACTGATGAACTAGTACCAGTTTAGTGCAGTTAGGTTGTGTCTGGCGCGGTCTGGTTCAGTTGTGCTTGCCATTTAAACTCAATAGTTATCTCGGTTAAGGTGCTCCAGACCTTATGCATCATATTAATGCACAGCCTACTGTGTATATAGTATATAGCAATTTACTATATATGATATGTAGTATATTGTATGTTATATAAATCCTGTAATTTGTACATATTTCTAATTTGTCTGCACCATCAATACCAATATAAATTCCTTGTAAGTGCAAACCTACTTGGCAATACACCTGATTCTGATTCTGATCCCACCATTCAGAAGGAAAGAGGTGAAACCAGTCTGCACATCCATGCTTGCAAGTAGAAGTTGGCACTTTTTCACACAACAGTAAAATTTTTGTGGTTTGTGCAAAGGAAGATAAAAATAAAACTGCAACAACTGGTTGAAAAGAATCTCAATTTCGATTTTTGGTAAATAAAAAAATATAAAAAACAGCAAATCAGCAGTTTTTGAAATACAACATTCTGTCTGGCACTGGTAGACTCTATAGAAGTGAACTAGGTTTGAATCAAGTTTGTAAAGTGTCAAAGATTTACACTTTGCAATTTTAATTCAGGAACTGAATTTAGGGCCTTAATGGGAGTAAGATCAGGTGCTTTACTGCCAAAAGTCTGAAACTTTGAACTGATTTGTTGCTCCTGGTGGGTGTTATGATCTAGCTGTTTATTCACGGCGGTCTTTTCAGGTTAAACTGTCAGGGAGTCTCTTTGATGGAGGGGCAACAACCTGGTTGCTTCACTGTTGAGTTGACAGTGTTTTCATCTCCACTTCCTTTTTTTTCCTCTGGACATTCCTTTCTCCAGATGTCCCAAACAATCCGATGGTGACTTCTTCAGGAAATAACTTCCCCCGCTGTGATACTTCCTGTCCAATCTGTCTGTCCCTTATGGTTTTTCAAATGGGCTTCTTTGCTGCACTTCTTGCCACTCCACTACAATCGAAGTGTCTGCCTCATTGTGTGAAAAGAAGCACTCATACCTTTCTGCTGTCATTCCAGTTTAAAAGCTGCACTGATAGTTTCCTAATACCCAAATTGAGTCCTCTTTAGAATAGGGATTACCTTGCCTTGCTTTCAGTTAAATGTCTCACCTAGAAGTACTTGCATGCTGTTCTCATTGAAAGACCATAGAGCTACGATAAAACAATTAAAAACGACATTTTGTAGAAGGCTTAAAACTGAATAGGTTTTATTATTTTTGCTGTTCACTGTATTTTACTTTGCTTTAGTTTGAAACTAGAAGGCCTCTGCTGTAGCTACATCCTCTCACATACCTTGGTCTACCAGGAGTCTTGGTCCAGAATGAACAAAATGTTCCAAACTTGCCTGACCCCTGCTCACGCCCCTCTATGAGCTCAGGGAGAGCTTTGCTTTCTTCAGAGTTTTGTATGCAGCACACTCACGTGCTGCTTCAGGCATTTGTTTTAACCATAAAATACTTGCAATACTTTAAAAGAGCTGTAGAAAAAGATGTCTTGTTCTAAAAAGGAAAAAAAATAAATGTCCTGTTTTTCTTCCTCCTTTCAGATGACATTGAAGATGCTACTGTCAATAAAATTTCGTAAGTGCAAATTCTTAATGGTTAACTGGTCCACTGCTGCTTTGATTGTCACTATGGATAATTGCACAGATACAAATCAATAGGACATGATTAGTGCCCAGAGGTCTTCCTTTTGATTTATTGGCCTGTTATGTAGTTGTTTGTATGCTTATTGTGCTGCTTCACCCTCTCTCTGTACTTTGCACCTCCATGCTGGATGCTTTTATTAGTGTTCAGCTTGCCTTTACAGAGAGACTGAGTTGTCAGGCTGAGTCTAAACACAAATGCACAGGACTTGTCTTATTATTCCTCCTCCCAGGCTCTGGTTGTGCACATTCACCTTGTCTGTCGCAGTGTGCGCTGTGCTGCTTCTCCCCATCTCCATCCTGTCAAATGAGGTTCTGCTCACCTTCCCGCACAGCTACTACATGCAGTGGCTCAATGGATCCCTTATCCACGGTACATCTCACTGTTATTTGTCTCTATACAATTAATGCTAAGAGGTTTCTATAAACAAACGTCAAGCATCACAGTGTGTTACAGCATGGGTGATGACATGCAAATCAATACTGAACTGGCCTATATCCAAACTGATAATTAGCAGGACAGGACAGCTCTGTTCTTTGCACATAAGTGAAAGTGGTGGTCTCTGTTCCAAGGCACAGTTTGACAGTATAGTGCCACACAGTGGTGGATGGTGGGTACTACTACAGTGTTTTTTTCCCTTCCTTTATCAAAATCCATTTGTTTTATTGAGAAATTTGTTTTCATTAAAGCTACAGTGTGTAATAATTACAGGCATATAAAGTCAGAAATTTAATATATTATACATAACTATGTTATTTATCATCACCTATGAGCTCAGCCTTTTAACCTTAATATTTGCGTAGATGTCGCTGAAAATTACACACTAGCTTTAAATTCTTTTCTATCCTAAACAGAGTGAAAGTGACTTTACAGAGTATTTTGTTTTATAGGCTGTAGCCTTTGTGGAATTCCATAAAATGTTTTTTGTTTCTACGTTTAAACACTATTTAATGTGAACATAAACACTAACATGTTTAAAATGGTCTAATTCTCTCTTTTCAGGATTGTGGAACCTGGTGTTTTTGTTCTCCAACCTGTCCCTTGTCTTCCTCATGCCTTTTGCATATTTCTTCACCGAATCAGAGGGATTTGCTGGATCCAAAAAGGTACAAGGGCTTGTTTACCTTTTGATTCCCTCTGTAGACGCCAGACTCTTGTTATCAAACTACACTTTTCCAACAGTAAAATGAATGAGCACATCAGTATTTTACAAATAAAGATGAATTACATTTTTCCAAAGCCTTCACTAATAAGTAAACATATATTACATGTATGGTATCTGTTTCTGTCAGTTTTGAGTTATTTGTTATTTAAATATCTGGAAAAATTATTCACTGTACTTTAATCAATACTTTTTCTGAATAATATTAATGTTTACATATGCTAATACATATATTACATGGATATAGTTGTTCATCTAAATTTACACTGAAGACTCTTGGATGACCGCAGATACACATAACTTTCTCTTTTCTCCCATAACACAGAAAAATAGTTCTGAAGATTATGAATTCTGTATTTATCCTGTTTAATGTTGACATGTATATTGGATTGATTAACTACTGTATTAAAGTGCAAGCAATTATAGTGTAAAATTAGTTTGAACTTTCAACTTGCGATTAAAACTGCTGCCACCTTCTGTTTGAAGGAAACTGCTGGTGAATTATGTCCAAATGGGATCAGCTGGTAGTGGCAGCCAGTGATTGGCTAAGGCTGGCTATGGTCACCCCCGGCCCCCCAACTCGCACTGCCTCTCCTTCTATCCTGTATGGCGATTCTAGAGAGTTGAATCTGGAACTCTATGTTTGCAGATGTTAAATGTGTTAGAAACACGTGATAAAAATTTTTCAATCAACTGATTACTTCTAAATTGTTTTTCTTTGCAGGGAGTGATGGCACGAGTGTATGAAGCTGTTGTCCTGCTTATCCTGCTTGCTCTCCTTGTGCTTGGTATTGTGTGGGTGGCATCAGCCCTCCTACATGACAACATTGCCCGAAAGAGCCTCTACGGTGAGTCACTCCCATCATGCTCCTATAGTCTGAATGGGCTGTATTCGCAATGTTACTGATTATTATTCTCTTTAAATGGCAGACCTGTGGGAATATTACCTGCCATATCTGTACTCTGGGATTTCTCTGTTTGGAGTGCTGCTGCTTTTGCGTTAGTAAACATTGATTACAAACATGGGACTTGTAGAGACTGAGTGGTATCACTAATTGCATTCTTTTCTTTTTTCTTTTTAGTGTGTACCCCGTTTGGATTGTCTCGAATGTTCAGTGTTACCGGCAGCCTGCTTGTCAAACCGCGGGTAAGGCTAACTTCATTCTCTACAACCATCAAAATCTAAATGACATTAGTGGGTTCAAGCTTTTTAAAGGCATGCATGAGTATAAAGGAATGCAAGTTCTTCAGATTCCTGCTAAGGACCTGATTGTTTGACTTGGGTGTGTTGAGGTGGGGTCACATGTTAAAGGTACAGGACTCTGGACCTCTAGGACTGGAATTGAAGAACCCTGCACTACAGCATGCATCATTTAAGTCGTATTCTGATGCTCTGCTCTTTTTAAAGTCTTATTTAGAAATTGATGCACAAGTGCATAAATTGTATTTCTTAAGAGGGGGCGTAACCGAGAACAAAATGGAAATATTTCTAGTAAAAGACAGTTGATAGATGTCTGACAGTCTCTGACCAACAGGGTAAGCAGGAAAGGTAATTACTAAAGAAGCCGGCTTTTAATGTTTACAAACATGTTAATAGAAAGTTGTGTGGAAGGGAAAAAAAAGCATGGCAGAAAAGCTTCACAAGGGACAATGACCTCAGCCACAAAACCCATTCAGGAAGCACTGCTAGCTGGACATATTTCTGGATCTAGTTCAGGAAAAGTTTGAAATTTGCTAATTTCCTGTTTTCTAATCATGCTTTCCACTGTCTATTGCTGCTGCTGTGTTTTAGCTGCTGGAGGACGTAGAAGATACTTTGAGCTGCACTGTGTTTGAAGAAGATTCACTCCACAGAAAGCTGAACTGTAAGTGCCTTGACTAAGATCCCTGTCCTTGATCATTTTTATTAATGAGCTGCCTTTTTAATGCTCTTTTCTCCTTGCATGTGTGATTGGAGGTGGCAGTCCATCGTGTTGGGTCAAGCTGAACATGGAGGCCATGAAGAAAGAGTACCAAACAGTTCAAAGCAGGCGTGTTGCTCTGGGTAAGACAAAGGAAGCTTCATTTTTTTCAGGATATCTCCAATAGAATCAAAACTGCATAGTTTTTATTTATGTATTCATTTTCCCCTCCCAAAGAGATGCGGAGAATGGCGTCGCCATGGCAGCGCAACTTGGGCTATCCTTTGGCAATGCTTATGCTTCTTGCTCTGACGGTACAACAGAAAACAGCCCCACAAACAAAGACTTGGATAGGAACTTCTCTGTTTTGGTGACACCTTGTTTTGGAATGTCTCCAGGTGATGTGTGTGCTGATGGTCTGCTTTAACGTGTTGGAGCTGCTGCTGGATGAGACGGCCATGCCCCGAGGAATGGAGGTGGGAATCCTCACACATCTCTACTGTGAACATTCCTTGCTTTATGTTGATGATAGTAGATTACAGTGAGGGTTGTCATGTTGTAGGACCCTCACCTGGGAATGGCCTCCTTCTCCATGTTTGGCTCACTGGGTGCTGCAGTTCAAGTAGTCCTCATCCTGTATCCTTTAAACCATTGAGATATTTCCGTTCAGTCTTTCAACACAACAGGGGACCTACAGGGCTCTGCTTTCCCCTCAAGGTTTAAGACCTCGATCCTGACAGTTTTGGCTTGATATTGTTTACAAATCAGCAGATTACAAACAGGCCAATAGGTAAATATACTGATGGTAGAGAATTGTCGCTCTGATTGTTACTCTGCAACTGAAATGGAGTTTTGGTCGATGGACGCTTGTAGATGCACACCTACAATGCTGTTTAATGTCTGTGTTTCTCATCTTTTTACTGTTGTCCTTAAACAAAATCACAGCTACCTAATGGTGTCCTCAGTAGTGGGCTTTTACAGTTCTCCCCTCTTCTGTGGACTCTTGCCTCGTGTAAAAGACACTAACCTCACACAGGTAAACTGCTTCATTGAGGTTTCAGTGAGAAACAAGAAATGTTTGCTGGATGTTACTTCTGAATTTCTTCTTCTTTTAGATCATTGCAAACTGTGTTTCGCTGCTTATACTGAGCTCTGCACTGCCTGTGTTTTCACGCACACTTGGTAAGAATATGCGTTTGCTATCAATGAGATGCTTAATGTTTAAACGTTTGCTTAATGTTTCTTTTTAATGTTTGGGCTGAGGCATCCAGTATTCCTTCCACTAAACAAGGGAAAAAAGAGGCTACATTTGATCGTTGCTACATTTGTTTTTTATTCAAAAATATGAATATATTTTAAATCTGAATCAGGATGGTTCTCTCTTCCCTCTTTAAGAATAACTGAAGTGAATTGAAATGTAGCAGCATAAATGCATAGAATTTTTTATAGGTGTGTATTAGAGTTACCGCTATCTTGACTTCCTTCATGTCTTCCTGTGGTAAATGTCCTTAGGGAGGAATCTCTGCAAGCTTTTAAAAAATCTTGATTTATTTTTTTGTTGAGCTTCTGGGAGCCTCAAAGTTGGCACAGGTGGGTAGTCCTTGCTCATTATTATTCTGTTTTGGATGCCTGTAATGTTACAGAGGAAATTAGAAATCTTATATACATCTACAGCTGAGCCAGATGTTTCTTGTTTTAGGTGCTTTGTGGTTATCAAATGTTCTTTTAGTAGCGAAATGCCTGAATAATGGGAGAGATTTTACCTTCAGTTTTAAAAATGACCACATGATGGCAGTGTTTTGCAGGAGTCCTACCTGCTTGGTTTACATCTTTTTGGTTTTGTTTTGCCTCTTTTCTTGCAGGGATCACACGCTTTGATTTGCTGGGAGACTTTGGGCGGTATAACTGGCTTGGGAACTTCTATGTTGTGTTCCTGTACAACATGCTGTTTGCAGGTCTCACCTCAGCCTCCCTTACAAAGACTGTCACCTGGGCGGTACAGAGAGAGCTCATCCGTGCCTTTGGTTAGTCTGCTTTTAATCCTCATTTAAAGTATGCTTTTTTTTTTTTTTTTATTAAACCGCCCGGAAAGAATATTTTCAGGGCCTGAACTGTTTAGTTTATTGACATTGTAATTATGTAGTTTGTAATGGTTTAAAAAAATGAACGTTGCAGTTTAGCCTCAACCATCAGCTTCTCTGTCCACTTTTTCACACCTCTATCTCTCACACTAGGGAGGCTCTGTTGTGGGTGACAAAACAAAATCTGTTTTGCATAATTTTATCTCATCTGACAATAATTTGCTTTGTTAGCATTTGCCTCTTTCCTCTACATGGAATAGGCCAGATTTTTAGAGCGCAAGATTAGAAGTTTTTTCTGCTGCAAGATTTCCCCCGCCTAAGCTCTAGAGCTCTGCAGCCTCTCTGAGGTCGTTATGGGCTTCTTTGTAGGGTTCCAGTTACCATCCACACTTTTTGGTCAATGTATTGAAGAAGGCTCTGCAAAAAATTCTGTAGACTACTTACTGCCCTTATGGCTGCAACATAAGCTCCCCACCTTTTGGCCCCATTTCCCGACGGGCTGTGCTCTCTTCCTCAGATAGAAAGAACACAATTCTTTCAGGAAATTGTAAAGGGACAAGAGGAGAGTAGTCCGTTGGGGACCTTCAGGCACAACGCCCTGGAACCCTTGTATTATACGTACACACACCCTAGAAACCTCCACCCAACACAAACATGCTCACACACATGGGCATGTCAAATACACACACGCACTTGCATCCCCTTCCTCACAGTGAAGATAGCATCTCTGCAGCACAGCAGTTCTGCTGCAGTTTTCCATTGCCTCCCAAATTACTTTTGTTCTGAGATTAATAGATTTCATTCTTGCTCAGTTTTACAAATGTGTTTCTTAACTATACATTGCCTTTTTTTCTTTTCTTTTGCAGGACTTGACAGGTTGCCTTTAACTGTGTCACGGTCTACCATTCCATTAAAGCTCCTCCTGGTCAGTGGGCTGTCTAAAATCCAGTGACCTTTTTCACACCTTAGCACTGGCTATTCTACCCCTTAGAGGGTGAAGACAGTGGGGCCTTTCGGCATTACAATGATAGAAGAGCACAAGACTGTCTGCTGTGGATGGAGCAGAAATGCAGCATATTGGTGCGTTTCATGAACGTATCCATAACTGCTGCCATATGAATGCAAGTTAAGGTCATCGTGGACAAAACTGCACAGGGTCGAACAAAATGATGGAAGCCATATTTAGTCCTGCTCTTCTAAACAATAAAACTCACCAGTATTATTGTGAAACTTATCATCTTAATGCTGTGTTGTTAATCCATCTTCCTCCATCAGTGTTGCTTAGTACTCAAGTGAATTCCTTGCAAGTTGCACAACTGTTCTAAGATTGACTGTCTACTGCTTCCATGTGTTTATGGGGCCAGTTTTAACAGGGTTTTACTGTAAATAAGTGTACGTTTCTTTGTTGGAGGAAAATATGCAGTTTGTTGCATGTCGACCTAGTGGTTACATGGGGAATTTGTAGTTATTGCCACTTTTCCAGGCAAATAGGAGCATTTCATGAGAAATTTAAAAAGTCTGTAAGAATACTGAGTCTGACAAGGATTGTACCTTTTTGGGAGAGGGAAAAAAAAGTCTTAACCTTTATGCCTTTAATGTAAACCATTCATGTGAGGAACTGCTGCCTTGACCAATCATACTGTGAATCATTAAGAATCTCCATGGGATTGTGCAATATTTTATACATCAAATCAGACTTTGAAACTTTGCCAAAAGTCAGTAACGAAAACCTGCTTTACATTTTAACCTTGTTTTTTTTTTTATCCACTTTTTTTAATGATGAAAAAAATGTATGTGTCTCTCAGGGCTTTCAGTGGTTTCTTAAATGGTGTAAAGTCCCATAATCTGAAGAATTCTGTTGTCATCCACTATGTGGCCATAATCTTGTGACTTCTTTTTATTTCTAAATCAGTCGTTTTTTTTGCTGTTGGTTTGACCAGCAGGTGGCAGTGCATTTCAGACACTATAACAAACTTTTTATATATATGTATGTACAGAAGACTATCATCTACTGGTTGATTGTAATCTCAGTTTTATGCACATAAACCACTAAGTTTACCCACTGATGTTGTTCAGGGAATGTTCATTCTTGCTTTTGAAACAGGAAGTGTGTAATGTTTTCTACTTATGGGTATTTTTGTCCTACAGTGTGTTTTGTTTATTACTCCATGAATGTGGCGTCAGTCGATATTTAAAGTGGTACTGCAAGTAAAAGAAAGTTTGTTTATTTTATAAAAATTCTCTGTCATGTGTTCTAAACTTTTTGAAGTGTCATGTTTTACATTGTTTTGTGCATAAAGCAATAAATGTTTGACTTTTTAGCCTTTTTGTGTCCTTTTGCGATCTCATCAGAAGGCCTTTTTGTTGTAAGCCATGTCTTTGATGCTGTTACCTTTCATGAAGTGTATCGACGGTGTGAGCTGGCACTGTGGGTGTGGGTGTCGTCCACCCTTTTGTTGCACTTCTTTAATCAGCAGCAGAAGAAAGCTATATTTTGGCCCGTCTGTCAGCGACGTCCACCCACGACGCCACTGTGACCGTGGCCCACGCTTTCCCAGCTCTGATGCAAGTGCCAGATAAAAACCCTACAAATCAAGAGAGGGGACATTCACTCACATTGACTCCTTGTCGTCCTCCTCCTTTCGTCTTTTCCTCTTCCTTGCCTTTTGTTCATTTCCTGTCCATTTCTCTTGAAGTCTGTCCAAGCATACCCTAGGTCTGATTAATTTCTCCCTCTTTTTGTTTGCATTCATTTTTTTTCTTGCATGTTTTAATTATGCTTATTTGGCTAAGCTATTGTTTTGCACACTTGTTTCCTTTCGATTGTAAGGAAATGGTCTGAAATGTTAACATCAGTGCCACATCTGGAGGCTGGTAACCATGTGGGTAAGTGACACGTACGTTGGATCAAAGGCATGAGCTTTGTCTGACGTCTAGAAGGGAAAGGAGACAGATGTTGTCTGTAACAGAAGATGCTGATTTTTGGTCTAAACTAATGAAATTAATGGAAAAGTTACATTTAATTTTGTGAAATATATAGATTTATTACATGAATCTATGTATTTCACAATATATGGTGATACATTTCAAATTCAGTGTTCCCAATAGCGCTTGTATAATGGGAAAATAGGTTTTAAAGCCCTCCTAGATTACTATTAACAAAGGGAAAGTCCGTTTTCCTCTTAACTTTATAATTTCTGAACAATCAGAGATTTAATGCAACCACCCTAATCAGGGGTTCCCAAAATTTCAGAAAAATAACAATGCAGCAGACACCAAAAAAAAAGTTTAATTACTTCACTCTATATTTTTAGATATTTAAGAGGACATTTGATTATCTAATTTTACAGTTTGGTGGTATAATATTTAAATCATGTATCGGACATAAAATGTACACTCACCGGCCACTTTATTAGGTACCCCATGCTAGTAACGGGTTGGACCCCCTTTTGCCTTCAGAACTGCCTCAATTCTTCGTGGCATAGATCCGAATCTCCCGTTCCACCACATCCCAAAGATGCTCTATTGGATTGAGATCTGGTGACTGTGGAGGCCATTTGAGTACAGTGAACTCATTGTCATGTTCAAGAAACCAGTCTGAGATGATTCCAGCTTTATGACATGGCGCATTATCCTGCTGAAAGTAGCCATCAGAAGTTGGGTACATTGTGGTCATAAAGGGATGGACATGGTCAGCAACAATACTCAGGTAGGCTGTGGAGTTGCAATGATGCTCAGTTGGTACCAAGGGGCCCAAAGAGTGCCAAGAAAATATTCCCCACACCATGACACCACCACTACCAGCCTGAACCGTTGATACAAGGCAGGATGGATCCATGCTTTCATGTTGTAGACGCCAAATTCTGACCCTACCATCCGAATGTCGCAGCAGAAATCGAGACTCATCAGACCAGGCAACGTTTTTCCAATCTTCTATTGTCCAATTTCGATGAGCTTGTGCAAATTGTAGCCTCAGCTTCCTGTTCTTAGCTGAAAGGAGTGGCACCCGGTGTGGTCTTCTGCTGCTGTAGCCCATCTGCCTCAAAGTTTGACGTACTGTGCGTTCAGAGATGCTCTTCTGCCCACCTTGGTTGTAACGGGTGGTTATTTGAGTCACTGTTGCCCTTCTATCAGCTCGAACCAGTCTGGCCATTCTCCTCTGACCTCTGGCATCAACAAGGCATTTCCGCCCACAGAACTGCCGCTCACTGGATGTTTTTTCTTTTTCGGACCATTCTCTGTAAATACTAGAGATGGTTGAGTGTGAAAATCCCAGTAGATCAGCAGTTTCTGAAATACTCAGACCAGCCCTTCTGGCACCAACAATCATGCCACGTTCAAAGTCACTCAAATCACCTTTCTTCCCCATACTGATGCTCGGTATGAACTGCAGGAGATTGTCTTGACAATGTCTACATGCCTAAATGCACTTAGTTGCCGCCATGTGATTGGCTGCTTAGAAATTAAGTGTTAACAAGCAGTTGGACAGGTGTACCTAATAAAGTGGCCGGTGAGTGTATGTCTTCTTATTTAATGAATTTGACACTCAATAAACCTTAGAGATCACATCACAATGATTCTCGCAACCCCAGGATGGTCCCAATAATGACTTTGGGTACTTATAGCTGCAGCATTGCAGTCATGGTTGCTACAATAATTAGGAACATTCAGCAGTAGTTTACAGCTTTAACTTTAAGTGCTGGACTTTTCCCAGTTTCAGTGTGTATTGCACTGTGGTTTTGTAAACTTCTTGGGTGGATTAATGACAGCAACTTGAACTACAAAAGATAATGTTCTGATCCTTTGTATAAAGGGTATTAGTGTTGTTATCCCAGTTCAGTTTAATGTAAAGGTGAACACCCAGATAGGAGTCCAATATCTCAGCATAAGTTACCTGGATGCTCACCTGTGTCATTCTGGTGCATTTGTGCCTCTGAAGGTCCACCATCATTTATTTTACTTTCCTTGAACTTATGATTTGTAGTTCTGCTGACACCAGTCTACAAAATTGCAAGCTGGTGTCCGTATTGTCTGTGCCCTGAGTCATCCTAACTTGTGATTAGGGTGACTATATGGCAGAGCAAGTTTTCCAAGTGGGGGCCACTGATATTTTTTCCTAAATTATTTTTAGACTGCTTCTCAGCAGTTTCACATCTGACCAGGGTTATCACAGGTAGCATTAGGCGATCAGTAGTGGACCCTACAGATATTGCACAAGCATTCCTACACCACCAATATGGCCCAGGATACCATTTCCAAAAGGTTTGCTGCATTTTCTAACATGGTGGAGACGTTAAAGTTCCTTTACTCATCTGCAGGACTGGTTTCTTCTCCTTTGTGCAAAGGAGGCACAGGATAAGTACTACCAGAGTCCTACAGTGTGACCTCCAGCAGGTCAGTGGTGCAAATGACTCCGACCAAATCTCTAGAAGCCAACTTCATTAGGGTAGCCTGAGAACCTGCCGTCCTCTACTTGGCCATGCGTTCACGGCCTCCGACCATTTAGCTCAACTGGAGATACCAGAGAACTCCTGAATTGTCCATATTCACACACCTGTACAACACAGACAGGGTATCCGGGTAAAACCTGTAGATCCACTTTTAGACCCTTCACTGGTGAGGTGGGTCCTTGTTTCCTCCAAGAGAATACCCTCTTGGAGGAAACAAGGATAACAATTGATACCATTGCAACTCAGACTGTTCAGGAGCTTAGCGACAGCCTTGTCAAGATCCAGGAGGAGATGCCCCAGGACACCATTATTTCATAAGGAGCATATAGGGCTATATGATATTACTGAGTATCATTTTCAGTTACTGCAATGACATTTCAGCACATTGGAAAAGCTGCCACATCAGTGTTTCAGTTCCCTGTCCCTGAGATTAGGCTGTCCGTGGGTGGATGATTCTGATTTTTATCAAATGACGTGGTGTTTTTGTGATCCCAACACATATGTACTTTTTTTTTTTTGTTCCAGTGTCTTTTCAAAATCTTCCTTAGTTCTTCTTTTAGCAGTGCTGACCTCTCATCAAACTATAGCTCTAGCTAAAGGATACAAACGATCAAACCCTTTTTGGATAACAGAACTTCAACCACAGTGATAACGCAGAGTTTAGGTGAACAGACCAAGTGCAAAGGCCGTAGTCTTCATTGCAACGGTGACAGGTTTTAAGTCCTGGCTGGTTGAGCTCCCTTCACCCCCATCTCAACCTATCCCATTTCCTGTCTACCAGCTATGAATAAAAAAGAGGCCA